GCAAGATCATCGTGTCCTGATTCTATAAAACAGAAAGGATTAATCTACACAAGGAAAGATCTTGTGCACAGTCCAATAATTTTTATATTTACAATAGACAAAAGATTTCAAGTGTTACAGACAATAGCACTCTGTCTGATATGTCAACTTGTTCAACCACTTGTAAGATTCCATTTCCTCACCAATAATTACTTTAGTAATGAAATCGTAATGTTGTTTTCATACCTCATTCTTCCTGGTTATAAACAACACATACAAACATTCAACTTTAGTTAATACAGTCTTTCTACTTAAAATGGACAATCCTGTTGGAACTGTCACACAAGAATATCGTATGATGGCTTCCTGATTATATAACAAGAATTAGGAGATGTAATTAAGAATGGGTCAATATTCTAGAATTCAAATTTTATTTGTTTATTTATGAACGTCTTATAATTGTTTGTAGTAGACTTATTATTACCAAAAAACAGCTGTTAATTCAGTTTTCGATGTTTTGTTAATTACATGTAGAGAAATCTTTTAGTATTTTAGACTTTAATTAAGAATTAAATGTTGATTTTGTACATTCTAAGCCATATGAATGCAAATGATTTAGCACATTTTAAATGAAGAGTAGAAGCCCTTCTTGATTAAGAATGTGCAATGTTGTTTGCTTTCTTATTGCTTAGAACTTATAAAATCTTCATTCAACTATTATATTTACAGTAAATATGAACCAATATCATTGACTATTTTTTCCTATTGTTTACCATTAATCAAAATGGTGGTACCTACTTTAAAATGAACCAGATTTCACAAGACACAATACAATGTGGTATATGTCATGGCCAAAAGTCAAACTTACATAAAATTCACACAAAGTGGAATATAATTTTATTTATATCCTTTCAAATGAAAAACAATTTGTTTCCGTAGATAATGTTTATTGTCGTTCACATCAATGTGAAAATTATAACCTTTTACACTAAAAGTACCAAGAACAAATTTAAGAAATTGAATATTATCATGTTTTCATACAAATAGATGCATTACTAGAAATTTAGATTTAAAACCAATAACTAGATAGCTTTCAAAATTGGACATTTAGAGTTGTAATAGACTTGTTTTAGAAAGTATTATGTAATTTTAAATTTTAACTTCTCATGCAGTATTAAACATTAAGCTAATTTTGACTGAGTTATGGGACAGATTATTGGAATAAATTGTAAAACTCTGGAACATGTGTATTATCAACTTCCATTAAAAAATAATGCATTTTAAGGATTGCTTTGTCTTAAAAGTATCTAACAAAAGTGTATATAAGTTAAACAGTGCATATTTATCATTAAATTGTCAGCATTTTAAAGAAATCATTAGCAAGGCTGGTAAATTAATCCATATTAGTATAAAACTGTACTATCAATTACAATTGTATTAATGTATCTGTTCTATAAAAGTACTTTCTTTTAAAAAAAAATGGACTTTCCTTTACAATTTCTTAGAACTTCTCCTTCACAAATATCATTCTGTAAAACATTTAAGCAAACATTTCACACTAGTTCAACAGTTTTATACATAGATACTTCAAAGATAACAATATTTCCTAAAGACTTAATCTGAAGTATTTTATCAAAACATGTATTTCAAAAGGTCTGCCTACCTTAAAATGTACTATCATTCATGACTTTGTATAGTATCTAGAAATCTTGGATCTATAATCTTCAATCTAACCCAAGAGACAAACAAATTTTTGGAGCAACAGACAGTCAAATTGATAATTTGGCTGAAAAAGACCAACAATCCTTTTTTTTTAAATATAAGACATGTCCCTAAAAGTTTGCACTGTATGTTATATATGTACTATAAAACAACATGTCTCTCTTTAAATTCATACATTAACATATTGATTTTCCTTTTAAAAAACCCTAAACCAATTTCTACTTAACATTCACTGTCACCAGATCTCTGAATAATAATAGAATACAATTAGAGCAAAGCCATACTAATTCCCTATGTAACCAGTTTCAGCAATACAATTATAAACATAGTTTTTCTGTACCTGAAATAATATATAACTCTGTTTGTCTATATTTGTGTGGGACCACACTAAGACAAAATGAGTTTCAACTAGCATAGCATATATAAGTACTGTGAAATTATTATTACTAATGAGATAAAATTGAATGGTTCAGAAATTAACAAATTCTGACATCTAAATATATCTGGAGCTTATATCTCTCCGGATAATTTTTCAGTAAGATAGAGTTATCATAAGTCTGTATATTTCATTCTTAATAAACTTGGTAGAAGGTATACAAATCACTTATGTTTTAATTACTTTTTTCTCAGGATGATCTGATTTTTTTTTTTCTTGAGAGGCAATACCCAACCAACAGCTGTAGCTATCTTAGCTAGCTTCCTGTAGTAGCTAGCACATTTCGACCCTGTTTTCAAAATATGTTGATTTTTATTTCCTTATTTAAGTTAGTCCTCATCTATTAGACAATTGCTTCATTTTACCTGTCTGTGATGAAATTGCTTTAGGTTCTCAGACTAAAGTGCACAATTTGAAAGCACTGATTGGTTGATATTTATTTGGTCATCCAATAAAATAAAATTATATTTAAACATCACTTAAATAACTCACAATAATTCCACATTATCGCTATTTTGTGTATTTTTCGTTTGATCTTTTATTTGTGATAATTTTTCATATCATGCTAATCGCTTGAGATAGAAAATAATCATCAGAAACTAAGGGCCCACATGCCATTGTCAAAGTAAACATCAATGGCTTCATAGGCAAAATAGCGATAAACAGATTATCAATGGTCTTTCAAACTCGAGGAAGTTTCTCGGCCACATCTATTTTAACTATTTTAATGAGCCAATACTGAAGCTAATATTCAATGGATTAAGCTACAATAATTCCAACAATAGTTTCACAGTATATTTAGATTATAAATAGAATTCACATTCTCAGCTACAACAGTGCAATTTGGTTGTAAATAAATATAATAATCTGGTGAAGCTGGACACTATGATGAAATGGCTTAACTTGGTGAATTTCAGATAACCAGAAGGCAAGCTAATCTTCACTGAGCTAAAATCGTTTTTTCATTTATCAACAATTTTAGACCATAATGCCCAATTTGAAATTTTTGTCTTGTAATCAAAGTTAAGCCATCGAAAAATATTAAAGAAGTATCAATTAAGAAATAAAAAAAAAGATTAACTGAAAAAGTCAGGAGTAAAAAGCAGTTTCACAACATTGTTTAATTGTAAAAATAATAAAATAGGAAAATACTTTCATAAAATTGTGAATTTTTACAACCAATTACACTTAATGAAATATGCACATGTAAAGAAAGATATATTCCTCAAATAATTGTTTCCATTTTCATTTGCATAAAGGGTATAAAGAAGACATGGAAAAAATGACATTTTAACATCAAAGTCATTTTTTTTAAACAATCAAAAATAATCAATGCTTACCAATAAATTTTATTTATTTCATAAAAAATCTTGAATCAATACCTATAACAAAGCTGAATAACATATTTCATATCTTTATTCCTTTTATAATTCTATAAATGGAAATATTTTTGAGGAATGTATATATTGTTAGCTTTAAACCTACTATATCCCAGGCAAAGTAAAATCCCTGAACATAAAAAGATAAAAGTATGATAATATAACAATACATAAAATACTTAAGAATCTTTTACTTAACTATACCAATTTATAAAAGAAATAAACAAGATACTAACCAATAAACATGAATTTTCAATAATTCAAATTTAATTCTACATTGAAAAACTTATTTTGGCTTATCATAACCAAATCACATAATTTCGGCAAAAAATAATGCAACTATATATTTCATATATATAGAAAATTCATTTGTGTACTGTGATATATGTGGATTTTTCAAATAACATTTGTTTTGTAATTTTCTTTCCAATGACGTTATGACAGATGGTAGCAAAATATTTTGTGAGATGATAACTTCTGACAAATACAATTACAATAAACACCAATTAAACCTTACCACTGTCAGTGTCAGAAGAAATAATTGTCATAAGGTTAATCAATATTTATGTTACAAGTTAATTAACGAGAAAATGTACGCTTTAGTTATTACCTTTTTAAACCATTAACACCAGCATATTTATGTTTTCTTTAATTCAAAAATACATCTTTAATTTCATACATGGATTGAATTATTTACATGACAAATGGCTGAAATTAGCTAGTTAAAAACCCTTATTCCCTCTTTTTATTGGGATATGTTTATATATTTATACACATATTTTTTTTGTCCTGGCATATTTCAATTTTTGGATAAAAGATAACTGAAATTATCATTTTAACAATTTTAATGGAACATAATCATTTCAAAGATATTTTATGTGACAGTTTTAGCAATATACAATACTTGGTAGCACTCTTGTCAAAACTTATTTGTACTGAGCTTCCATCTGGCAATTCAAGTGCGTTATTTGTCCTTAATCTCATTGTCATGTGAATGACCTTATAAAATATACCTTCACTTTTCATTTGTTTTTACACTTGATTTCCATAAGATTAAACATTTTTGAAGCCATATTTCAAGCAATGAAGCACCAAAACAACCTCATATTCAGCAATACCAGATTCACATTGTGTGATTGGCTGATAACTGAAGACTCATCCAATTAATGCAACGAATTTTCTTATAAAATAAAATAAAGGAAAAAAAAATATAAACAAATTGAAAGCAATCGGGACAATTCATCTACTTAACTATAAATAAATCATTGTAGTCAAAAAGGCTTTACTAAAAATAATAAATTCCCAGGCCATAGCAAGTTCCTCTTAGAAAGAATCCATTTCCATCACTATTCTATGTATGTTACTTTTATATAAAATCTAACTATAACACACTTCAAACTATTGAAAACCATTTCAAGCAAACACTTATGTTTTAACACCATGACCAATACAACACAAAACTATGCAACAACATGTATACTTACTCTGTTAGAGAAGGCCAACTCCATTGACTCGGCTGACAATTTACACAGAGCATCTATCAGATGGTGGAGTGCTACATCATCCAAGTACCTACAAATACAACATTTTTTTATATAAGCTATAAATTTAGACATGCATGTTCTCTTTTCATATCCTCTTTTTCTGGAAATCTATATTCATGAAGAGTTCCAAACATCAACTTCATTTTCATGTAAACCCTATTTTTTTTTAAGTGTTTTACTCAAGGGTCAAGAAACAAGTCACATTTGTCAGACATGACATATTCTGAAATGCAAAAGACCAAAATGCTATTTGAGGGGATTTCAGTCTAGAACAAAATCCATTATAGAAGTAAATACCGCCATATCAATTAATTTCATTGATAAAGAGCTTTTTATTTGCCATTTTGCACTAACATTTTTTTTAAATGCATTCGGGATAATAACTCTGTGTTACTGCTACCGAGAGACACTAGCTAATTGTGGGAAAAAAATTATGGAACCATGGTCTTACTGTATCTCTTCTTTGATTTGATGAAATTTTCTTAAAGAATATAATTAGTATTCCTGAAAAAAATACAAATGAGTATGATCTTACCACACTGAATTTAGCAAATACATCTGAGGGTAATGTGTGTATAAATCCAATTTATATCTATCTATAAATTTCATACTTAGCAATTCTTCTACTCAAAAAGTGATATTCAAGTATTTCCTAATAACTTGAACTGTAAGTTTCACAAATAAAATCAAAATTATTTTTTCATCACAAATATTATAATTTTTAAAAGTAGTCAGTCCAATGACAGGGATGCAAAAATCAATGCTCAACAGCAGATTTTGAGTCCCCTCTACTCAATTGTTTTCAATATCAGAATGCTATCTCATCAAAGCCTACTGAAGTCCATTTTTTACCTGCTGCTGACAACACAATCTTAACATAATATATAACATTTATAACTTACTGTGAGCTTTCAAAGAGTCTAGACAACATGGCAGACAGTACAGGAAGGTCAGCCATGACAGCAGTTGTTATAACAGCATTGCTACTTTCTGTAGTGTTCTGACTAGATTTCAGAGTTCCACCAGACGATGGTTTCAACCCTAATATCCATACTAAATGCTTAAATAGAGAAAAATAATCACTGCAACTAATTCTCTTCTTATTAATAATGTTGATGGGTGCCTTTCTTAATACACAAAACATGTTCTGTAAGATTATAGGTGCTCACCAAACTAAGAGAATAAGGAAAATAAGTCTTCCTTTATTTAACTATGTATCCTTACTGCTGGAGAGTGGGTACTATGGTTTTAAGCATTTCTTATTTAAGTTTCTCTTTAAATCTATTTCGAAAATGCATATGCTAATTAAGCAATTGATATTTCCATGTATGGCTACAACCATTTCATAAAAAGTATTGCATATCAAAATACAAGTTATGCCATAATGTTGTGATTAAGCACATGTGAGAAACAAACTGAATTCATCATACATTAGAACATACAATTATTTGTAAAATCATTAAAACTAGAGGCTCTCAAGAGCCTGTGTCGCTCACCTGTATTTACTGATGCTTTGGAAATCATGTAAAAAAGGTTAAAATCATAATTAATAGTATTAGATATTAGATATTATAATGATATCTAAGATAATAACAAAAAACAGCAAAATTTCTGTAAAATTACTAACTCAGGGGCAGCAACCAAACAACGGATTGTCAGTTTCGTCTGAAAATTTCGGGGCAGATAAATCTAAATCTGATGAACATTTTTGCCACCTGTCAGATTTGCTCTAAATGCTTTAGTTTCAGAGATATAAACCAAAAACTGCATTTTACCCCTATGTTCTATTTTTAACCATGTCGGCCATGATGGTTGGAAGGAGGGGTCATCGGACAAATTTTTTAAACTAGATACCCTAATAATAATTATGGCCAAGTATGGTTAAATTTGTCTCACCAGTTTCAGAGAAGATTTTTGTAAAAGATTACAAAAATTTACGAAAAATTGTTAAAAATTGAATATAAAGGGCAATAACTCCTAAAGGGGTCGACTGACAATTTTGGTCATGACGACTTATTTGTAGATCTTACTCTGCTGAACATTATTGCTATTTACAGATTATCTCTATCTATAATAATATTCAAGATAATAACCAAAAACTGCAAAATTTCCTTAAAATTACCAATTCAGGGGCAGCAACCCAACAACGGGTTGTCAGATTTGTCCGAAAATTGCAGTGCAGATAGATATTGACCTGATAATCAGTTTTGCCCTATGTCAGATTTACTCTAAATGCTTTGGTTTCAGAGATATAAGCCAAAATCTACATTTTACCCCTATGTTCAGCCAAGTTTGGTTAAATTTGGCCCAGTGGTTTCAGAGGAGAAGATTTTTGTAAAAGGTAACGACGACGGACGACGACGATGGACGACGGACGCCAAGTGATGAGAAAAGCTCACTTGGCCCTTCGGGCCAGGTGAGCTAATAATAATGACAGAGTTATAAACAGCAACTGGCCATTGTCAAATACTATACAATTCTAATTTTCACAACGATTTATTTATGTGACTTTCACATGTCGAAAAATAACAGATTGCAAATATGTTGAAGTTGGCATCTTCTCTGATATGAAAATATAAAAAAAGTTAAGAATTCCATTTCTGAATCCATTTTTCCATGAGGGAATTAAAATAAGGACACATTTCTTAAAATTCTTGTGAAAAAGAATAAATAACAAGGCAAGCCAAGATTGATTTGATTTTGATTTTTGGTGTTTTAACGCCACTTTTAAGCACCGCTTTTGGGCTATTTCGTGGCAGCCAGTTTTTATTGGTGGAGGAAGCCGGAGTGCCCGGAGAAAACCACGACCTTCGATAGGAAAACTGACAATCCTAGTCAATTAAGATTGGAGTCGAGTGCACCTGCACGAGCGGGGTTCGAACTCTCAACCTCAGTGTTGACTGGCTAGTGATTACAGTAGTAACTACTTTGACCACTCGGCCACCGAGGCCCCAGCCAAGATTGAAGAGATGATGGTAACAATTACAAATCATGAAAAATTGATATTTTGTGACATTTTAAAAACTGTGGTTCTCTCTCTTTATTATTTTTATTATGGTTTAGAAATGATTAATTAGCAGTGCAGTATGTAATGGAGTTCTATAAAGAGCTGCATAATTTATGGGTAAATAATAATATTGCCAATGCTCTTACAAAAATAAACAACAAAATGTTCATACTACTGATATAATGTTTCTCATTTGCATTTTTTGACATACCTGAAGTGTGGTCAGTACTAAATGCCACGCTGTACCTAGTATGCCACCATGGCAGTGTGCCACTGATAGCAGTGACCTCATACATTGGATATTTTTAGCTGTTAACTGTAAAAAAAAAAAAGTTTGAAGAAAAGTATACATCATATCTATAACAATCTTACCTAAAAACTCAATATAAAAATAAAAATATGTGGTATGATTGCCAATGAGACAACTATCTACCAGAGACCAAATGATGTAGAAGTTAACAACTATAGGTCACTGTATGGCCTTCAACTACTAGCAAATACTCACTGACGGCTCTGAAGAGCAACTACTACCCACCTTAAATGAATCCATAGCACTGTCTCAGTACCATTAAAGTTAAACTATATTCTTTGACGACTGCAAAGTTGGATATAATTTGAAACAAAACCCATTTGTATTTAATCAGTAATACATAAAAAGGATAACAGGAATACTTTGACCACCAACACCCAACTCCTCTGACGTACACACAAATACAAACAACAACAAACAACACATGGTCCTGACTAGGTACAGGCACACAGTTAAACCAGGTTTACTTGTGCACAAGCCTCCCCTTTGTCTGTTAAGACCATATGTTGTAAAAGTTTAATACAAGATTAGCTAGCATTGTTAGCGAATTCACACAAGGTCTGCCCTGTATTTTTTATTATCTCCCCTTTAACATGGGGACTGGGATTAAATTCCTACATGCACATCCTCAGGTAAATTCAGAAATTATTGTGAGGTTTTTATTAATGCCAATAATATGACTAAGTAAGTATCCCAATAATTAGAACTCGCATTCAGATATCTGTTATATACATTTGTATATAGATTTTCCTGAAATCGCAATAAATAATCTTGCTTTTATGTCAATTCTTCAAAAATTGCAATAATATATGCATGCAATTATTTCTGAATTTACAGTATCTATTTTTGTTAAGCCATTTAGGAGGAATAGTGCTTATGAAAAACTATTACAACACATTGCAACATTGAAGTAAGTAAATTTGATTATCTTCCCTTTAGCATGCTGGTTCAGACTTATATTCCTATGACATCCTAAAATTTAGATCAGTAGTTACTAACAGAGGAGGAAAATATGAAAAGTTATAGTGATGTCAATAGCTCACATAGCCCTTAGGATAAGGCAAACTAATTCTATTTCTTTGATTGATTGTTGGTCGCTTATGTCCTCACTCCAGTGGCAAATATTTCATGCATTTTCTGGACGACTATTTCTTTGAAATAAATTTTTACAGCAAGTATTACTTTAAAATGAGAATCAAACTGTATTTAAAATTACCATAACTGGTCCTTGGTGTGCTCCAACAGGCAGTGATGCAGTAGGTAGTGGAGAGCCAACAGCTACAACCTGACTCCTCTCTATAGCCTCTGATCCTTGAGTCTGTAAGTCTTGACTAGCAAATCTTTGGTGACCTACAAAACAATATTTTTAAAATAATCAATCTTATTTGTAGATTCTTGACCGTTCTTTTTATCATGGCAGACTTTGCTTTTAATGAAAAATTTCATTCTCAATATTCAATGTGATACAGTAAATAGATATAAGAAGATGTGGTATGAGTGCCAATGAGACAACTCTCCATCCGAGTAAAAATTTATAAAAGTAATCCAATATAGTACAGTAAAGTTCATATTAATACTGATAAAAGTTTTTCTAAGATTTCATTCAGTGAACACCAGCAACTCTTGAGTAAAATGCAGTACACTCTATGTGTTGAGTCAGTGCAAATCAATGTTTCATAGAAGACAAAAACTATACTCAAAGAACAGCAAGTGTATAAAGGTAAGAACTTTTACATAAGACAGTATACAAGTCTATCTGAGAAGATTGAGCTATACATATACTCAGGCAGCTTAGTACCGTCATTGTATAATGAAGAGGTAGTGAGGCTTTTCATAAGACAGTGTACCAACCTATCTAAATAGATTGAGCTATACATTTACTCTGGCAGCTTAGTACTGTCTGTGTATAATGAGGAGGTAGTGAGACTTTACATAAGACAGTATACTGGCCTATCTAAATAGATTGAGCTATACATTTACTCTGGCAGCATAGTACCGTCATTGTATAATGAAGAGGTAGTGAGGCTTTTCATAAGACAGTATACCAGCCTATCTAAATAGACTAAGCTATACATATACTCTGGCAGCTTAGTACTGTCAGTGTATAATGAGGAGGTAGTGAGGCTTTACATAAGACAGTATACTGGCCTATCTAAAAAGATTGAGCTTAACATATACTCTGGCAGCTTAGTACAGTCAGTGTATAATGAGGAGGTAGTGAGGCTTTACATATGACAGTGTACCAACCTTTTTGAGCAGACTGAGCTTTATTTTGGAATTAAGTACATTCAGTGTATATTGAAGAAGTAATAAAGCTCAGTGTACCAATGTATCTCTGAGCAGATTTTATTTATTCTCTGTGAGGGTAGTACAGTCAGAGAATCATGGTGTTAGGCTGAGTTTAGAGGTTATTTTTTATGCTGGGTATTTCATTGACATATACCCCACATCTACTTTTATTTTAATTTAAACTTGTTTTAGTACAGTCAGTATATAATGAGGAGGTAGTGAGGCCATAAATTAATTCAGTGTACCAACTCTTCTGAGAAGACTGAGCTATACTCTGTGAGTTCAGTACTGTCACTGTATAATGAGGAGGTAGTGAGCCCATAACATAATACAGTGTACCAACCTTTCTGGACAGACTGAGCTATACTCTGTGAGTTTAGTACAGTCAAATTATAATGAGGAGATAGTGAGCCCCTAACATAATACAGTGTACCAACTCTTCTGAGAAGACTGAGCTATACTATGTGAGTTCAGTACTGTCAGTGTATAATGAGGAGGTAGTGAGCCCATAACATAAAACAGTGTACCAACTCTTCTGAGAACACTGAGCTATACTCTGTGAGTTCAGTACTATCAGTGTATAATGAGGAGGTAATGAGCCCAACACATAATACAGTGTACCAACCTTTCTGGACCGAATGAGCTATACTCTGTGAGTTCAGTCTTGTTAGTGTATAATGAGGAGATAGTGAACCCATAACATAAGGTAGTGACACTTTACATAAGAAAGTGTACCAACCCTTCTGAGAAAACTGAGCTATACTCTGTGAGTTCAGTACCGTCAGTGTATAATGAGGAGGTATTGACACTTTAAATAAGACATTATACCCACTTACTGACTACTGAGAAGACTGAGCTATACTCTGTGAGTTCAGTACCGTCAGTGTATAATGAGGAGGTATTGACACTTTACATAAGATATTATACCCACTTACTGACTACTGAGAAGACTGAGCTATACTCTGTGAGTTCAGTACCGTCAATGTATAATGAGGAGGTTATGAGACTTTAACATAAGACAGTGTACCAACCTTTCTGGGCAGACTGAGCTATACTCTGTGAGTTCAGTACCGTCAGTGTATAATGAGGAGGTAGTGAGGCTTTACATAAGGCAGTGATAAAAGCATCTCTAGGTGTTGTCATTTCAAGCTGTCCACATAAATTAGCATATGTCTTCATGGCCTTGAGTACAGCTTCTGTTGCACTTTCATCAGTACTGAAATCAAATAAATATATTTTCTACATTATACCATTGTTCATACAGTCTTAAGTTTTCTTAAAGCTTTAACTTTTATTTCATTGTCATCAATTCTAATTAAAAAACTTCTACACATTAAATCAAAACTGAAGATTTAAGCTGTAAGGTATTTCCTTCTGAAAATTCATTACAACAACAATTACATTGATGACATTATTTTTTGCATAGGATATATGTTTTTTAAATCAAAATTATGGGAGAATTACAAGAATTAAGTGTATTTGATATGTAAGTTTGAAACAAAATATTGAGAAAAATATGGGTTGTAGGGCAAAATTTATAATGCAGTGTCTAGGAAGAGTCTGAGGGGTTATTAATTATTATGGAAAAGTTGAAAAAGTAAGAAGCAAATATGCTTAAATACTTTACTCATCAATAATAAATCAATCAATATATAAACAAAATGCAGCCCTTTTTATATAAAACTTTATAATTTTTCTTGATCTACATGTGAATTCTAATTTTTCTTAATCAACTACATGTGAATTCATCAATAAATATTTAAAACATATATAACCTACCGTTGTTTGCCTTCTAACACTTTGATCTAACTTTAAATCAATATTAGTAAATTAAAACAGTTTGACTAAACTTTTCTTGATTTTCAAATTACCAAAGATGAGAACTTTGTTTTGAAACTTTACCGCATTTCATCAAGAATTCAAAATTATTTAAGTCTCTCAACCATTAAATATTTCTTGTCTATTTCATATATGGGATAAAACTTCAAACTTCAAAAGACTCATATTTTCAAATAAGATGAGTCTGTTGCTTATAGTTCCTAAGATATTATTCAAAACATGTATGAAGATGCAAACTTGCACCTGGACATTGGTGCTTAGTGTACTCTATAATAGAAGTGTGGTTGAAAAAATAAGTTAACTTTATAAATGTTCTACACAACACTTATGAAACAGATTAACAAGTGAATCTGTGAGCTACTGCTCACTAATGATACCCCTGCCGCTGAAAGTATCAGGTAAACAAGAAATTGTTGAGTGATGAATCTGAAAACGCATCACACGGTATATAGTCGACTCATATAAACCCTGAAACCAAATTTCAGAAATCCTTGTAATGTAGTTCCTGAGAAAGATGCGACGAAAAATATTCATGGGATGGATGGATGGACAGACTGATGGACGGACTGACGGATGGACGGATGGACAAACAGACGGACAGACAGAGGTAAAACAGTATACCCCCACTTTTTTAAAGCGGGGGTATAAAAAAATAAAAATGGTTTCTCAATTCTCTGTAAATTAGAGTAAAGAAGATTTACCTATATTTCTATACATGTATCATAAAAGTGACTAAATGCTTTTTTCCTAAATATCATCATCACATTCAGGGTCTAATGTATAACTACTACAAATTGCATAACTAAGTAGGAATGTAAAATATATCTTAGGGGCTAATTAAAACCATTATCAACACACCAATTTAGGCAAAATACTATTTCAGATTAAGTGCAGCCCTTCAGTTATGAGTAGGCAAAACATTACATGTTCATGCAATAAACAATGCCTATCAAATTAAAGGTATAAGATAAAAATAAGAAGATTTTTGGTTTGATTGCCAATGAGACACCACTTCACTAGAGACCAAATGATGTAGTAGTTAGCAACTACAGGCCACCATATCATATGGCCTTAAACAATCAGCAAAACCCATACCACATTGCAACCTATAAAAGGCCACAAAATAACAAATGTAAAAGAATTCAAACGAGAAAACTAACAGCCTGATTTATGTACAAAACATGGAACATAAAACAAATATGATATACAGCAACAAACAACAACCACTGAATTACAGACTCCTGACTGGGGCAGGCACATACAGAATATGGCAAGGTTAAACATGTCTGCAGCACCTAAACCTCCCCAACCCAGGACCATTATTCTAAGGGGTCTGCAACTCCATGCTATTTTGGTATTTTCTATTCCAGGACAAGTCAATAAAATATTCGATCTTTTGTATGAAGAGCCTTTTACGCTCACTTGGCATCCATGCCTAAACGTTTGTCAGCTTATGATTAACTTAGTGTATTATTCGAAAATTTCTATTGGCCACACTGGTTGAACAACAGGGTTCTATTAACACAATTTTGATAGAGGACCAATTAAAATGACCATTAAAGTGCTTATAAGCACTGAAGGGTACATGTAAAAATAAGAAGATTTGGTATGATTGCCAATGAGACAACTCTCCAACAGAGACCAAATGATGTAGAAGTTATCAACTATAAGACATTGTACGGCCTTCATCAAAGAGCAAAACCCATACTGCATAGTAAGCTATAAAAGGCTCTGGTACAACAGAACAACACAAGAACAAACTGTACAAAACAATAAACAAAACAAAAATATGATAAACAGCAACAAACTTGCATCTTTTTACCATAGAGAACTAAAAATTAAACATTGCATTGTATTAAGCATTGGAAGGCAATATTTTGAATTGGAGCCACAATGGTATTGTTAATTCATCTACAGATATGGACAAAGGAAGATAACTTCAAATTTAAATATTAATTTCACAGTGTGACATCATCATGATCATTGTTATTTTAGAAAAGATAGAATTCATGCACCATGCACAACTTATGTAATTCCCTAGACAAGTACTGTTATAAAATACACATCATTTTGTTACTTGAATATCTGAGTATAAATTTTGTGAATAAATTACTTAAATGTACATAGATAAGATAAAAAGAATGTTCATCTCAATGTACTATTTTTTTGTATACTTTCTAAAGTAGTGATAAGGTCTGAAAACCCAGTCACATAAGGGTTTTAATTGGATGAATCCAATCTTTACCCCAATAATTCAGTATTAGACCCTTTATATCAATTTCAGTAGGTAATTGGATGCACGACATTTTTTGAAATTTTTTTTGCAACAAAACATTCCAATCAATATTCAGATTATTGTTTGCTTCCAATCTTGTTTCAGAGGAGATTTTTTTTAAAGTCTTATACATCCTTGGCTTTCAAATATTTGACATTGAGCATTCCTGATGAAGGTAAATCCAGAAAAGCACTTCGGATGCATGAAATTTATAACGTGTTGTTTTCATTTATGACCAACAAGGGCAACAAATTGATGGCTAAATCTCATACCAGCCATCTAAAACATGTGAACGAAAAGTGAATACAAAAATATGAATTTATTTATCAAACAATATAGTATAATTTGCATGCATTTTTCATTTATCTTATTTTCATTGATTACAAAAGGTTTTCTAGTTTATGAAATGGTTAATGTAAATTAAGGTTCAGGATAAAGAAAATGATATATCTAACATATTCTACAATATGGGATAAATGAAAGTGTTTCCTATATACTGTAAACCCTCAAATCTCACCAAAAGACAAGGTCTAAACTTCTACAGAAATAAAAACCAAATTTAATTTATAAAATCTTACATTTCCATAACAAAGCTGTTTTAAAATAGACAATTTAAATGTAACAACTATCATATAGAAGCTTTTATACTAAAACTATGTTATTTGGACTGTCAAAACTGACTATGCAAAAATCTGTGTTGTATGATCAATAACTGTGAAGCCTTGTCAGTAATGTTAATAATTTGTTTCACTTGAATTTATTTTAAGGATGTTTGCTCCTGTTTCAAAATAACAAGCTTTTGGAAAGACTATTATCATTTGAAAGTATATAAATAATGGAACTTAAAAAGTAGAAAAAAATGGCACATCTATGTCCTTGTTTTTGAGATATAATAAATTGAAAATTTGGAGGGAAATAATTATCTCCAGATTTTTCATACATTTAATATTGGTAGAGTGAGAGACCCATATTCGCCACATAATTCGTTCATTTCCACTTACATCCGACCTACATTCAAATATTTGGAACTTTTTATGAAGGTTTCAGAAATTTAACTATATGAAAAAAATGTTTGATAAAAAATTATCTTCAAAACATTGTTTAATTGTTCTAAAAACGAACCCAAACTCAAGAGGAAATCAAGTTGTTCGTGTACCATGGGGGACACATTTTCGCCGCAATGTATGATACGACAATCCTCATTCTCCTGGTATATTATAAAAACGAATGTTTGCAATTACATGAATTAGCTTGAGAGATCATTCCTATACGATTTTTCTCACAAATATTTACTTTAAGACTGCGCATGATTGCCATATAAATCTTACATAATTGTCAAAATCATTTAAAAACACCTGAGTATTTCTCAATATGTGCGAATAACCTTGGAAATGGGGTAAAGAGGAATATCAACAATTGTAACATTACAAACAGCCTTTACCATCTTTTTAGGCAAGTATTGGGTAAAGGCACACAAATTTTACAGAAAAAATAGCAAATCAGTGAAAATGTGTCCAAGGCGAATATGCGCCACCCACTCTACCTTTTTTCTTTCAAAACTAAGAAAAAAATAACAAGGATTTTATAAGATTATCAAAAATGGCTTTTTAAACTATATGTCATAAAATTGTGAATTAAAAAGTAGGGGTTAGGGGGCAAAAGTTTTGTTGGCACTATATGGATAAAACTAGAGGATTCAAAATATCTGACAAAAATTCAAAAACAAAAGGAGCGAACATCCTTAATATTACATTGTGAAGGAGTACATTTTCACTTAAGAAACAAACCAGTTTACATCCAAAATATTATCTTCTGAGTAACTAACAGCATTGCATTATAAACAGAATATCATACTTTGGATATAAACTTTATCTGTCTATGACATAAAACAGGGTAGAAATATTCATTGATAGCTGTACCTGTTTCTAAACCTTGAATAAATTAATTTTAAGGTGCAAGACTATCATTTATTAATAAACATATAATTTCAAATTTTTGTATCTAATTTTCTGGATTATTAGTATAAATATATATATATATATCTTTTTATACAATTACCTTGCATCCAATAGTAAGGAAAAGGCAGCTAACATCCCACACCATGAGGAATTAATCAATTCTTCTTGTAGCTTTCTTTCTTCATCTAAAATAATTATTGTAATGTTAAATCAATTTGAATTCTGGGCATATTCTTTTTAACAAGCTAAATAAACAAAAAGGTCCTATCAATCACAAAGACATAATATACTGAACCATTAGACTATGATCATGGCACCCATGACCTTACACATAAAAACAAAATACTGAAAAACTTATGAATTAGTTGAAAATTTTTACCATAACTGAAAATTATTCCATATTTTATGTAGAAAAATATATAAAAAAATAGCAAATCTTTATAATTATTCAGCAAAAACATTATTCAGTATGCTAAAGTTTTATCTGGTTTGTGGTAAAACAAATAAAAGCTATTGTAACAGTTTCTATCATGAAAAAACACACAAATACAATCTGATAAGTTGATTATCAGATTTTCCTAATAGTAATATTGTAAAATATAATCTGGTCAACATAATATGAGGACATTCTGAACTCATTTTGCTGCTTGCTCTCATTAAAAGGTGCAAATTATGACTTGCAACTGATATTTTACAGTATCAATACACAGAAAACATGATAATCAGTACATCTTTTCATTCTTGAAGGAAAAAGTTTGCCTTTAGGGATAATATTCATTACATTATGTTATTTTTTTACAACCAAAACTATTGATATGTTTACCAGTTTTCATGTTAATTGTAAATTCTATCCTCACATTATTTTAAATTTTAAAAGAATTGATAAATTAACTGGTATGGAAATCAAAATTGTTCAGGTAGAACTCCAGTAAATCTAAAGTATATCCACCTGTAGCAAGCTCAGCGAGACCAATTAAAAGATAGCTGGTTCCAATTAGTATAATTTATGTTGCAATCATCTGATTTTATTTGCTCTGAGCATTTTATGCACATGCATATTTTTCTGTTCCCTGCATCAACATTTATGAATAAGCTAAGTGTTCCCTGTACCAACATTTATTAATAAGCTAAGTGTTCCCTGTACCAACATTTATTAATAAGCTTAGTGTTCCCTGCACCAACATTTATTAATGTGCTAAGAATTCCCTGCACCAACATTTATTAATAAGCTTAATGTTCCCTGCATCAACACTTGTTTATAAGCTTAATACTTGGACCATGCTGGTGGTTAAGTCCATTCATGTCCACTTGTTTGATTTAACATTAAAATAAACACATGAAAAGCAAATCAACAAACAATTTTAAATTTTACATATAAGTCACCAACCAGTGATTTGTTTCTTGGCTTTAGGTTTGTTCTTTCCTGGTGTTACATCTTTAGTTTCTCCCTCTATAATGAACTGTACACTTCTGTTAAGTTCCAACAGACTGTAGAAGGCTAGTGACATACCATAACCATCCTGTACAGCTGGTGGGTCAACTCTGTCTAACAACTCTAATCTAAAATAATATACAACTTCATATAACTAAATATATCCTGTACAGCTGGTGGGTCAACTCTGGCTAACAACTCTAATCTAAAATAATATACAACTTCATATAACTAAATATTTACTGTACAGCTGGTGGGTCAACTCTGCTTAACAATTCTAATCTAAACTAATATACAACTCCATATAACTAAATATATCCTGTACAGCTGGTGGGTCAACTCTGCCTAATAACTCTAATCTAAACTAATATATATATACTATATATGCCCTTGAATTTTTACTAGATAACATTTTTGTTCGCTTTGGAGATTCCGTATATCGTCAGGTTATCGGAATTCCAATGGGGACTAACTGTGCACCACTTATTGCGGACCTTTTTTTGTATTGCTATGAGTTACAATTTTTGACAAAAATCAGTAAAGACCCATCGAAACAACATCTGATACACAAATTTAATAATACTTTTAGATATTTGGATGATATTTTGGCTCTCAATAATGACGACTTCAGTATGTATACTAAAGAAATTTATCCTGTTGAACTTACTTTAAATAAAGCTTATACTAACAATGACCAGTGCCCTTTCCTCGATCTTGATATCTATATCATTAACGGAAAGCTTAATACTAAAATATATGATAAAAGAGATGATTTTTCATTTCCTATCGTTAATTATCCATTTTTAGATGGTGACGTTCCCTTGTCACCATCTTACGGTGTTTATATATCTCAACTTGTACGATTCGCTCGTGTATGTAACAATGTTTTAGATTTTAACGAGAGAAATTTATGTATTACTGAAAAATTATTACACCAGGGTTTTCGATATCACAAACTAGTCAAAACATTTACTAAATTTTATCATCGGTATAAGGACATCATTCGTAAATATAGCTCAACATGCAGACTTCTTATACGTTCAGGTATTTCACATCCAATTTTTTATGGAAATATTCTTTATAAAGCACAAAAATGTCAGTATTCACCTCTGAAACTAACAAAACCTTTAAATAGACTTATTAAGAAGGGATATAGTTACGATACTGTTGTCAGGTCATTAAAGATTGCATATTTTGGCGTTAATATTGATTCACTTATAGGGTCTTTGCATCGGCACTAAACACATTTATTTAAAAACCAGTTGTTGGCATGACACAGGTTATGTTCTTCTCATATATGTTATGATGGTATGATACTAAACCCCTAATGGGAAGGATTGTGCCTGATATTCATATGATGAAGACATAATCTTTCAATCAGTTTAATTGAAGTCTGGAGCTGGCATGTCAGTTAACTGCTAGTAGTCTGTTGTTATTTATGTATTATTGTCATTTTGTTTATTTTCTTTGGTTACATCTTTTGACATCAGACTCGGACTTCTCTTGAACTGAATTTTAATGTGCGTATTGTTATGCGTTTACTTTTCTACATTGGCTAGAGGTATAGGGGGAGGGTTGAGATCTCATAAACATGTTTAACCCCGCCGCATTTTTGCGCCTGTCCCAAGTCAGGAGCCTCTAGCCTTTGTTAGTCTTGTATTATTTTTAATTTTAGTTTCTTGTGTACAATTTGGAGTTTAGTATGGCTTTCATTATCACTGAACTAGTATATATATTTGTTTAGGGGCCAGCTGAAGGACGCCTCCGGGTGCGGGAATTTCTCGCTGCATTGAAGACCTGTTGGTGGCCATCTGCTGTTGTCTGTTCTGTGGTCGGGTTGTTGTCTCTTTGACACATTCCCCATTTCCATTCTCAATTTTAATATACAACTTCATATAACTAAATATATCCTGTACAACTGGTGGGTCAACTCTGGCTAACAACTCTAATCTAAACTAATATTCAACTCCATATAACTAAATATATACTGCACAGCTGGTGGGTCAACTCTGTTTTACAACTCTAATCTCAAATAATATATATACAATTTCATATAACTAAATATATCCTTTACAACTGGTGGGTCAACTCTGTTTAACAACTCTAATCTAAACTAATATACAACTCCATATAACTAAATATATCCTGTACAGCTGGTGGGTCAACTCTGTCTAACAATTCTAATCTAAAATAATATACCACTTCATATAACTAAATATATCCTATACAGCTGGTGGGTCAACTCTGTCTAACAACTCCTTATCTAAAATAATATACCACTTCATATAACTAAATATATCCTGTACAGCTGGTGGTCAACTCTGACTAACAACTCTAATCTAAACTAATATACAACTCCATATAACTAAATATATCCTGTACAGCTGGTGGGTCAACTCTGTCTAACAACTCTAATCTAAACTAATATACAACTCCATATAACTAAATATATCCTGTACAGCTGGTGGGTCAACTCTGCCTAACAACTCCTTATCTAAACTAATATACAACTCCATATAACTAAATATATCCTGTACAGCTGGTGGGTCAACTCTGTCTAATAACTCTAATCTAAAATAATATACAACTCAATATAACTAAATATATCCTGTACAGCTGGTGAGTCAACTCTGTCTAACAACTCTAATCTAAACTAATATACAACTCCATATAACTAAATATATCCTGTACAGCTGGTGGGTCAACTCTGTTTAACACCTCTAATCTAAAATAATATACAACTTCATATAACTAAATATATCCTGTACAGCTGGCAGGTCAACTCTGTCTAACAATTCTAATCTAAACTAATATACAACTTCATATAACTAAATATATCCTGTACAGCTGGTGGGTCAACTCTGACTAACAACTCTAATCTAAACTAATATACAACTCCATATAACTTAATATATCCTGTACAGCTGGTGGGTCAACTCTGTCTAACAAGTCTAATCTAAAATAATATACAAGTCCATATAACTAAATATATCCTGTACAGCTGGTGGGTCAACTCTGCCTAACAACTCTAATCTAAACTAATATACAACTTCATATAACTAAATATATCCTGTAAAGCTGGTGGGTCAACTCTGCCTAATAACTCTAATCTAAACTAATATACAACTCTCTGTCTAACAACTCTAATCTAAACTAATATACAACTTCATATAACTAAATATATCCTGTACAACTGGTGGGTCAACTCTGACTAACAACTCTAATCTAAACTAATATACAACTCAATATAACTAAATATATCCTGTACAGCTGGTGGGTCAACTCTGCCTAACAACTCTAATCTAAACTAATATACAACTGCATATAACTAAATATATCCTGTACAACTGGTGGGTCAACTCTGCCTAACAACTCTAATCTAAACTAAAATCAAATCCATATAACTAAATATATCCTGTACAGCTGGTGGGTCAACTCTGCCTAATAACTCTAATCTAAACTAATATACAACTCTCTGTCTAACAACTCTAATCTAAACTAATATACAACTTCATATAACTAAATATATCCTGTACAGCTGGTGGGTCAACTCTGACTAACAACTCTAATCTAAACTAATATACAACTCCATATAACTTAATATATCCTGTACAGCTGGTGGGTCAACTCTGTCTAACAAGTCTAATCGAAAATAATATACAAGTCCATATAACTAAATATATCCTGTACAGCTGGTGGGTCAACTCTGCCTAACAACTCTAATCTAAACTAAAATACAACTCAATATAACTAAATATATCCTGTACAGCTGGTGGGTCAACTCTGCCTAACAACTCTAATCTAAACTAATATACAACTGTATATAACTAAATATATCCTGTACAATTGGTGGGTCAACTCTGACTAACAACTCTAATCTAAACTAATATACAACTCCATATAACTAAATATATCCTGTACAGCTGGTGGGTCAACTCTGTCTAATAACTCTAATCTAAACTAATAACCAACTCCATATAACTATATATATCCTGTACAGCTGGTGGGTCAACTCTGTCTAACAACTCTAATCTAAAATAATATACAACTTCATATAACTAAATATATCCTGTACAGCTGGTGGGTCAACTCTGTCTAATAACTCTAATCTAAACTAAAATACAACTCCATATAACTAAATATATCCTGTACAGATTGTGGGTCAACTCTGTCTAACAACTCTAATCTAAACTAATATACAACTCCATATAACTAAATATATCCTGTACAACTGGTGGGTCAACTCTGCCTAACAACTCTAATCTAAACTAATATCAACTCCATATAACTAAATATATCCTGTACAGCTGGTGGGTCAACTCTGCCTAATAACTCTAATCTAAACTAATATACAACTCTCTGTCTAACAACTCTAATCTAAACTAATATACAACTTCATATAACTAAATATATCCTGTACAACTAGTGGGTCAACTCTGCCTAACAACTTTAATCTAAACTACTATACAACTCCATATAACTAAATATATCCTGTACAGCTGGTGGGTCAACTCTGCCTAACAACTCTAATCTAAACTACTATACAACTCCATATAACTAAATATATCCTGTACAGCTGGTGGGTCAACTCTGTCTAACAACTCTAATCTAAAATAATATACAAGTCCATATAACTAAATATACCCTGTACAGCTGGTGGGTCAACTCTGCCTAACAACTCTAATCTAAAATAATATACAACTTCATATAACTAAATATTTACTGTACAACTAGTGGGTCAACTCTGCCTAACAACTCTAATCTAAACTAATATACAACTTCATATAACTAAATATATCCTGTAAAGCTGGTGGGTCAACTCTGCCTAATAACTCTAATCTAAACTAATATACAACTCTCTGTCTAACAACTCTAATCTAAACTAATATACAACTTCATATAACTAAATATATCCTGTACAACTGGTGGGTCAACTCTGACTAACAACTCTAATCTAAACTAATATACAACTCCATATAACTAAATATATCCTGTACAGCTGCAGGTCAACTCTGTCTAACAATTCTAATCTAAACTAATATACAACTAAATATAACTAAATATATCCTGTACAGCTGGTGGGTCAACTCTGACTAACAACTATAATCTAAACTAATATACAAGTCCA